CGGCGACGGCGACAATATAGCCGCCAGACTGACGGCCAGGCCCGGACGATGGGCGGCAATGAAGCGGCGACGGCGACAACATGCCCGCTAGACCAGTTCCTTAGACCATCAATACGGACCCCTCAGTGCACGCACTGTTTGGGGAATGGAACGTAAACGCATCACAAAGAAACGATTGCAATGTTGTAATGCAATGCTACGTAGCGCGAAGCAATGCAACGTTACGCAGAGCAATGAACAGCACGGCAAAGCAATGCGGTAACGAGGCTGCTGGCGGCGACGACGCGTCGACAAGACGGCGTCGGCGACGTGGTGACGACGGCAACTCCACGGTGGCGGACCCGACGTGCAGGCCCAGACGACGGGCGGCGACGAGGTGGCGACGGGGCAGCGACGGTGACGACGTAGCCGCCAGACCGCCAGACAGGCCCAGACGACGGGCGGCGACGAGGCGTCGACGGGGCGGCGACGGCGGCTACACAGACAACAAGTTGGAACCCCAAAGTGCAGCCACTGCTTGGGGAACGTGTACATCGGCACACAAACACAACGATGGAAATACATGATAGCACGTATCATGAGCATGACACAGGTCACATGCACGATGTGATTATACCAAACACGCACGCCAATAACATGCATCCACAAACATATACCAAACACGTACATCATGGCCAGTCGCCAATACTAGAGTAGGCATAAGCACCATGCACGAAACGTATGCGATCGTAACAACTACCACTTGCTCACACCAATCACATCGCCGTGGGAACCGCATACGGCAACACCACATATCGACGCAAGACGGGTGCAAACCCGTTACAATGTCTACCACCGCGCTCTGAAGCACACATTGGAGTGTCCTCAGGTCCAGCCCTTACGGGGGCCTCAAGAGGCCTCCTCTTGATCTTCCTTCTCCTCCTGCTTCTCCTCCTCCTCGTCCTCGTCCTCCTCGTCGTCGTCCTCCTCCTCCTTCTGCTCCTCCTCCTCCCCTTCGTTCTCCCTCCCTCTCCACCTCCTCCTCTTTTCCCTCCCTCTGACAAGTGTTCCCCCAAGGGGTTCCACAACGGCTGGGGGAACACAAAGCCCGATAGCTTGGCCAAGCTTCGGCTCAACGCTCGTCCGCATGGGCGTTTCCCCAAAGCAGGGGGTGGTGGTGATTCGTCGTAGGCGTCTTCAACCGTTAATTACAATAACGTGCATGCATCGCTCATATTATTCAGTTGCACAGCTCGGCATTGACCAACATGCGCGCGTAAATACCGAACACATGCATCAGAAAGCATGTCACACATCACACTGTAAGGTCACACGCGACAGACTCCGAAACTATGTGCAACACCTCTATGGTGGAGATCGCCCCAAGCAAAGTAATGCGTTGGATCGGTTGCCACTGGTTTGCCGCATGGACTGCGCCGAGCGTGCCACGGGAGAACAGAGATGCGTACAGTCAACCCGTATATAGTAAGGATGCGCGATAAGGATGCAAGGGCCTTGGGCGCCCAACTCGAAGCTTTTCGAGCGGGGCGCGGCCACCGAAAGTGGCCAAGGATGGACCGAGGAAGCAAGGGTGTAAGGGTACCCTTGAAAGGTTGCCCATCCTTACTGTGCGGGTCGTCTTTATGCTTGCGCGAGGAAAGAGAGGAGGAGGCGAAGCAATGAAGCCTGTCCGCTCGCGCGGCCAGCGGGGAGGGAAGGGCGAACTTAGCAAGGACAGCTCGCGGGAGCTCTTCCCGACGTCTTCTGCTGCAGGCGCCCTGCACCGCCCACAAAACACAATCCAGCGCTCAGGAGGACGAGGCTTATGTCCCTCTTGAAATAATAACGTTGCGTTTGTCGTCGGTCGCAAACGGAAGCTCAGTCTTCGTTCCGGGGTCCAAGATCCTGAGCAGAATGCAATTGACTTCCGCCCCCAGGGCGACACTTCAGAAATACGCTAGATTGTCGCTTAAGGCTCCAATGTGTACCCATACTCCGAATGTTGGCCCAATCAGAATCGAGTATAACTTCTTGAACATCCCCAAGACGACCGCGGGAAACCACACAAGTGTACAGTCTGTCAGGACGCCAAGTACGGATTCGCTCATGGCATGGCTTCTTGTGTAAAAGAGGTTCGAACTGCAGAGCTTAACTAATCACACGATGTATAAGCAGAATGCGCGCAACTATGACTATGACTCTATGTGATTCAAACTCGTTGAAACTCCGCCACACGTGCCCGATATTTGTGCCCAGAAGCCTACGTACATCTCTAGATGCTGGGCGCCTGAAATCGACACCGGGAACGAAGGGGCAAATGCGATCAAGTGAGCGACCGTGACAAATTCACACTTGCATGATGACGCGCGGCAGAGACACTCTCGCCGTTTCAAGAAACACTAGCATTGGATGCGTATTCTTGTTATGGACTCGGCTTGACCGAAGAAACCGCCTATACACCTTTCAGTCCGTGCCGATGGATCCGAGATCAGTGCAGCTACATGTTACACACACACTCACAAGGAGAGCGAGCGTGGTGAGTCCAACTCACACAGCGGGGGGACCAAGGATCCGCCCATAGAGGATCGACCGGGTCACTCGCGCGGGGACGCGAGGGGAATGGGGAGAGGGGGGGAGTCCGGAGAGGGGGTGAGCGGCGGCAAGTCGAAGTGGAGTGCAGCGCGAGGGGCAAGCAGGGCCCAGCGCGGAGGTGCAACGGCACACCGACACGGCGAAGGAGCGTCGGGCAGATGGCCCGACCAAGGCAGACGGCGGGATGAAGAAAGTGCCACACGGCGACAGGGCGGCGGAGAGGGACGGGGTGAGGCTGACGGCAGTGTGGCCAAGGTGCTGCCGGGGAGGCAGGACAGCAGTGAAGGGCAGGCGGCGGGAGAGCGCAGACTCCCTGGAGGCGGGGAGCACACGCGCACACACGTGGACACTTTTTAGTCGGCGGCGAGGCAGAGGCAGTCCGCACCAGCGTGGGGCTCATCGGGGTCACAGATCGGCAAATTGTCTGGCGTGCAAGAGACACAGAGAGAGAGAGAGAGAGAGATAGAGACAGAGAGAGAGAGAGAACAAAAAGAAAGGAAAAGACGAGGGCGGCCTCGCGGGGGGAGAAGGAATGAGGCCCTCAGACGTGGAAGAATCCCGCGGTGAGCGGGCACCACACAGACACACACACACAGAGACATGGACCTGTAAAATTGTTTTGTCGGCGTGGCGGCCACGCGTGCGGCGCACGGGTCAGAGGGCACCGCGCACACACACACACACACACAACACAACACAACACAACACAACACAACACAACACAACACAACACAACACAACACAACACAACACAACACAACACACACACAACACACAACACAACACAACACAACACAACACAACACACACAACACACACATACAACACATACAACACACACAGCACACACGCACAACACACACACGACGCATCCTGAAAGTGGGGGTCCCTACGCAGCTGCAGCCAACCCTCATCATAAGGATGCGCCGTAAGGATGCAAGGGCCTTGGAGGCCCATGCGAACGTTTTTTCGAACGAGGTTGGCCAGCAAAAGTTGCCAAGGATGGACCGAATGGGCATGGATGCAAGGGTGCCCTTGGGAAAGTTGCTCATCCTTACCATGTGGGTGGACTGTAGGAAAACTCACCTGCCCGCTGCACAGCCGGGCGGCGAACGCAGCAAGTGTTCGACGGAGTCCTTGTGCCTCGGAGGATCCCTTCTGAAAAGGAGACCCTGACACCTGCTATCCGAAACCTGCTCGGATCCCGCTCTCCGGACCCTCGCGCCAGATGCCCAGACTTCCCAAAAAAGGCCTCGGTTTCTCTCGAACGGTCCCGCGAGGCCAGAACAGATCCCCCTCCGAACCGCACGCGCACGTCGAAGTGCACCCAGCCAATCAAACAGCACAGACAGGCTGGCGTTTTTTTTTCTGGGTTTCGGCATTTGGCCGAAGGGTGGGGGGAAGGGGGGGATGGGTCTGTGCCACGTGCCTTTGCTTCGTCGATCTGCTTCTGCCAGCCGCAGGCTGGGGAACAGGGGCCTTGACCAGTCGCCAGAAGCAGCCGCCAAGAGCTGCCAAGAGCTGGTCCGTGGGGGGGCGGCGCGGGGGGTCCGCGCCGATGGGCGACACCAAAAGCGGCGACCAGAGCATCAGGCATCCGCACCGACCGCCCTCCCTTACTTCCAGGCGGCGCCGTCGGAGCCGACCCCCCCCGCGCGCTCCGCGCTAGGGGGAGGGGGCCCAGCATCGACCAGACCTCAAAAAGCGTATGCCTGTGCAGTTGTGTGCTCAGTCTTTTATGGATATGGATGGCAAGCACGCTGTGGCACCTGCGACTCAACGCGTGCCGCGTCATCCTCGGGGCCAGCACTCGGGCAAACGCCACTAAGGATCAGGGAATGCGCACCCGAAACAAACAGCGAATGCCGCCTCATTTGGCGACGCAACGTGCCGATTCTGCACGAAAATGTCACCCGCTGCTGATCCACTGTTTGCGCTTCATCGAAGAATTCAATCGGACCTAAACCATAATAATATTCTTCAAGAACGTGAGATCCTCCGCCGGCCAAAATGCAGAGTATTCGAGGGTACCCTCCCCCATGATGCACAATAACATACAACAAACTCGAAGAACATTAGGGGAAGTACCCTCCCCAGACCGACCTCGATCTTACGCCTCGGTCCGACTGTAGACGATCTCCGAATAACAGACGACCCGCAGAGAGACAGCCCGAGATTAACGGGCGAAGAACGGTATAAAATAAACTTTTTCGCTGTCGGGGGCGCCTGTCCCAGGGCGGCTGGAAAGTTTATACCCTTACGGTGGCACTGTAGGAGTATAAACTTTCCAGCCGCCCAGGGACAGGCGCCCCCGACAGCGAAAAAGTTTATTTTATACCGTTCTTCGCTCGCTGACGAGAGAGTGTCCAAAGCCACGCAAGGAAGTCTGCCGCAGGCGGCCCCTCCACCCTGCAGCCCGGGGGGCCGGCCTCGGTCCACGCCCACGAGTCGGTGCCTCCCCTGCCCCGCGGCGGGCTGGGATGTGACGTGTCGCGTGACTCCGCGCCTCGTTTGGGGACGCCAGCCGACACCGCTACTCCCCGGACCTCTCCCGTGGTGACTTCTGACCAGAATTTCGAGGCGACTCCAACGGTGGCGACGAAGGCCTCGCAGGATGCCGGGAACCCGGGAAAACGAGGAAGGGAGGAAGCGTGGCGGTATCTTTCCTCCTCTGATCGTTGGCGCCTAGATGGACACGGCGTTGCGCAGGCACTCCTCTGTCACCCAGCTCCGCATTCTGCGCCGCGCGAAGCGCTGTCGTCTTTGCGCTCCCCCGCCGCCCCCCCCTCTGCAGAAGGCAGGGGGACAGCTCCCCAGAGCGGGGCAGCGCAGCGCGAGGCGCGATCCTCTTCGCGCTCCCCTGAGATCCTGGCGTCTCCATTTTTTTGAACCCGGCGTTTTCGCCCAAATACGGGGCCCCGGAACCCTCACAGATCGATCCGGCTCGAACAACGGAGCAGACAGACGGGGTCCAGGGTTCCAGTCGTGCTTTTCCCGATGCTTCATTTTCTCCGCGCTGTCGGATCTCAGGGTCCCTGGAGGGGTGACCCGCAGGCACTCGAAGGCCCGAACGAAGGGGACAACAGCGGCACAAGACTCGGCCGCGCCCCGTGGAAACGAGGGCTCCGACCCCCTCGGCCGGGGGCTGGAGCTCTGCTTCGCGAAAATCCGCTTCTGGCTAAGGGCAGGAGGAGGAGGAGGAGGAGGAGGAGGAGGAGGAGGAGGAGGAGCAGCGCGAACCGGATCCCTCCTCCTGCACCCATCCATCGGCGGCGCACTGGGGGGGGGCAATGGGAAGGAGGAGGCCTTCCCAGAAGTCTCGGAAGCCCCCCGGCCTTCTGAGAAGTTTCCCGAGCCTTCCCCGAGGCAGAGAAAACTCCTCAGAAGGCCAGAGCGCTTCTGAGAAGTCCAGCCGCAAGGCCTTCTCCTTCTCACTTCCCCCCCTTCGCTCGCCGCCGAATCCAGGCCAGCCTCCCGGTGAAGCGCTCCAGGCCCTTGTCCTCAAGCCCTGCGAGGTCCGGTGGCGTCATGACGCCCAGGGCCTCGGGCCATGAGGCCTTCCTCGGCCAGCGCACCCCCCCGCGGCCCCGCGCGATCCCAGCTGGATCGAATCGCGAAATCGCATCGGATCGGAACCAGATCGAATCGCCAACGAATCGTCCCTCCTTCCTGCATCCATCCAGGCCAGCCTCCCGGTCGAGCGCTCCGGGCGCCCCTCGTCCTCAGGCCCTGCGGAGTCAGGTGGCGTCATGACGCCCAGGGCCTCTCGGCCCACGAGGCCTTCTTCGGCCATCGCCCCCCCCCCTGCGGCCCCGCGAGGTCCCCATGTCGCGCACGGCCAAGCCCTTGGCAAGCCGAGGAGGAGGCGCGATGAGGAGGAGGAGGAGGAGGAGGAGGAGGAGGAGGAGGAGGAGGAGGAGGAGGAGGAGGAGGAGGAGGAGGAGGAGGAGGGGGAGGAAGAGGAGGAGGAGGAGGAGGAGGAGGAGGAGGAGGAGGAGGAGGAGGAGGAGGAGGAGAGGAGCGAGGAGGAGGAGAGGAGGAGGAGGAGGGAGGAGGAGGAGGAGGAGGAGGAGGAGGAGGAGGAGCGAGGAGGAGGAGCGAGGAGCGAGGAGAAGGGGAGAAGGAGGAGGTGGAGGAGGAGGGGGGAGGAGGAGGAGGAGGGGGAGGATGAGGAAGAGGAGGAGGAAGAGGAGGAGGAGGAGGAGGAGGAGGAGGAGGAGGAGGAGGAGGAGGAGAAGGAGGAAGAGGGGGACGGGAAGAGTAGTTCTTCCCCTCCCCTCGGGGCGGGACTAAAGGGAGGGTGATATAGCAGACGGGGCGCCAGCGGATCGGCCACATGCACCTGCGTTTTTCCTCGGGGCCTCACGGTGCCGGAGGCGGCCATGCACCGAGGAATGCGCCGGGCGGCGGCGCAGAAACAAGCTGCGCGGCACGCAGCGATGCATAGGCGATGCATCGGCGATGCATCGTCGACGTGGGCGATGCATCGGCGACGTCGGCGTGGACAAAATCAGGCTCCACATCGAGCCGCATGGTCTATGCATCGGCGATGCGGCGCGATCCACCGACCCCATCTACTCCGACCCTGTCTAGGAGGCCTAACCCCTGTCCGAATACGGAGCATAATCTCCCCCCTTTTCGGGTGTTGCTAGAAGTGCCTCTGGCCCAAGGTGCCCCGAGGATTTCCAAGGAGGTCCCCCACTGCCTCCAGAGCACCCCTCACGAGGCCCAGGGGGGGGCACCTCGGGACAGGGGCACGTTTAGCAGCCCCCCTGACCATCGTCCACCCCGACTCTGGATACCCTGGCCGCACTGGGCGCATCTCTGGCCCGGACCGCGAAGCGCGGACAGCTTCGCGCCCCCGCTGCGGAGCACGGGGGCCCAGGGGCGCATGGCTAGGTAGGCACAAGTCCCAGGATCCCCCCCCCTATATTCTAGATACTTTCCGGATGTTTGTCTTCCCCTCTACTTCCCATATTTCCCATGCTTCCTGGCAAGCTACGATTATGTGTGTCTGTGTATGTCTCTTCCCACCCCTGAGAGAAGCCGACCCCTAGCACGGGGAGAGAAGCGGGCCCGCGCGAGCTCGGAGTAAAGGACGGAAACATGGACGAGGGGCGACGGGAACGAATACGAGGACGAGGCGACAGACTGCAAGACGAAGGCTGGGCTCCCCAAGATCCAAGCGTCAAGCAAACTTCCGCTGGCCCAAGAACGGTTGGTGGGCAACTTGCCGTTCTTCACCCTCGTAAACCTTTTTCGGGAGGCATGGAGCGCGATACAGTCGGGATTGATTGGAGAGGACACGCGAGGGGACACAAGACTCTTCCGAGGGCTACATTGCCACAGGAAGGGTAACCTTGAGTTGGCGGGGTCGACCTACGAATCAAGGCCAACTGCAGCACTGGCCTGTTAACGACGTTTTGAGGTCGCGAAACATCTCACATGCAGATCACGTTCTCAGAAGGCTCTCGTATCAGGTCCGCGGCTTCTCACAAAGCGATGGCCTCGGCAGTGAGCGAAGATCTGGGTGTGCTGGTACGTCGTCCCGCCATGCAGATTGAATGCGACACTGTCCCACTCGGTAGCTACACATGGACTTCGACGTCTCTCGGCAGCTTGATCTGCAGTTGCCTTGGTCTCGCGCGGCACGGCACGCGCGCAAATGCAACACCATCCTCTGGTCCAGAAGAAGACCCTGCAAGCAGGCGTTTTCTTACTCTGGCTTTCGACAGTTGGCCGAAGCGGGGGGGAGGGGGGAGGGGGTGTCTGGATCTGGGCCAGTGCTTGGCCGATCTGCTTTTACCCGTCGCGCGAGCACGTTGAGGGGAAGGGGTCAGGTCCAGTCGCCCACAGCAGCCAGGACCTGGTCTATGGAGAGGGGGGGAGGCGGGAGGTCTGGGGCCCGCGCCGAACAATGATCAAAAAAGGCGACCAGCCTGAAGCGCATCGTGAGTTAGATCGAGAATGCACATAGTACCCACGCGTCAAGCAAGCTTTCGCGGGCAAACTTGCGATAGACCATAGCGACGGCCCTTCCCTCCCCCTTTTCCGTTTCGCAGTGTTCCCCGCCGGATGAAGCTACTAGGCAAGAGGAGAACGACCCTCTCGCGTCATGGACAAAATCGCGACGGGAAGTTTCTGCTGCCGTTTTCGGCCTCGGGGAGCCCTCACTGGGCCCCAAGGCCACCAAGAAACAGCCTGGGATGAAAAGCTGGCCGCCAGGGAAGGGGGTCGGGACTGTCCAGGACCCCTGTGTTGAAAAGATCGCGAGGACGGACCTTTTGTTAGGTCGGGCCTGGCCCCCGACAGGCGGATTTTGGACGAACAAGAAAACAGAGTCAACAAATGTCCCAGACACGCCCCAAACATACTCGACAAAATCGTCCCCAGACTATTGTTTGGGCATTTTTGAATACTCGCCCTGTGGAGGGACAGGCCCGGCTTGAGCCTATTGAGGCAACACGGGTGCCCTCATGCCCCCCCGGGCCGTAGTTGTCCGCGAAGGGGTGGTTGCCGTACTCGTAGTGCTCTCCGCCGGCCGTGGTGTAGATGCCCCATGCCGCCAAGATGGTGTGCTCCTTCCAGCTGTCCGCGATGCTCACTGCCTGGTATGCCTGGAGTGCAGGGACCGGCCGCAACGATGTTTAAAACGAGCCATAGCGTGTACAACGAAAAACGAGACGAGGGCCGACGTAAAACGAACGTGTAGCACGAAGCCGGTGCCAAACGAAAACGAACGACGAAACGGGGCGGCTAAAGCAACATGAACAACGAAACGAACCAACAACGAAACACGAAACGAACAACAAAACAAAGGCCCAAACCAAGCTAAACAGCGTTGTGGTCGGTCCTTGCTGGAGTGCTCCCTCCCTCCTGGCTGCACGCAGGGGTGCCCTCGGCAAGAGTTTCCTCGGGTGCGCGGCCTGCAGAACGCTCCTGCCTGCAGTGCGACAATGGCTGCCTGCGTGCTTGGGTTTATGCGTACAGTGGAGGCCAGTCCACAAGAGACCTTCCACAAGAAACCCAACCCTGAGACCAGGACGCCCATGGATTTTGGTGTGGGAACGTCACGCTCTCCATAGCAAGTCCATCGAAACCCAAGAAACCCAGGGCACCCTGGAGGCAAGCAGGGTGTTTCTTGGCATGGGTCCCCCCACTGTAGCCGACTCTCCCTCTGCCTGGTCTGTGCCGTTGGCTCGGAGATGACTCCCCAAGAGGCCACCGCCCCCCGAAGCAGAACTCGTAGAACCCCATCGCTTTCTGAATGAGCCTCGCGCTCTCGCCTTTTCTAGCCTCCGACGCCTCAAAACGGCCCAAGAGGCCCCGAACATCTCCCCGATGTTGCCAAAGAGGCCCCCAGACGTGCTCACAAAAAGGCACCCGAACGGCCCAAGATGCCCCCCCCCCATGGCCTCAGAGAGCTCCAGAGGAGCTCCAAGACGGGATCCCGAGGGAGAACAGGAACCGACACTTCCAGATTCTCGTCCCAAGAACCCCCCCGGGATGCCCCGGGAGGCCTCCGAGACCGTCCGACCCCCCCGAGAGGGCCCCAAAGGGAGCTCCCCCAAAGGGCCCCAACGAGAGCCCAAAGCGGGCCCTCCATGCTGCCCAGGAAGGTCCAAATCTCCTCCAGACATTGCCCCCGAGCCCCCGAGGGGGCCCAACGTGGGGTCCGAAAAAGAAGGCACGATGGAGCCCCCAGAGCCCCCAGCCCCCCCCCCTCCTTTCACGATGGGCCTCGAGATCGCCGGCATGCGTACAACAAACGCCCAGGAGACCCCCAACGCACCCAGACCAGAAGGCCCCCAAAGGCCGCTGGTCCATGACGCAATGGGCCGAACAATATCATACGATTCAACAACCCATGCTTTCTGAACCACCGCAAGATCGCGGAGTCCGAATTAGACAACAAACGCTGCCATCGCTTCACGCCACGACTGTCCGCAGGGTCCCCGTCGCTGCCTCGAGTCACGGTTTCGCTGTGATGGTCGTGGTCTGGCAGTGGTTGTCCCTCGCCCGTGGCCGTTCGCTGCTGGCTCCCCTTCGCGCGCCCCCCACGTCATGGGCACTCCGAGCTGCGCACCGCTCCCAATTCTGAGTGCACTCCAATCTATATATATATATATATATATCGAATGCACGATTCCTCGCCCACCCCGCCTTACAACTGACGTCATCACAAAGAAAAGCTCGAGAGTGCCTCCAAGAACTGATCTGTACGCTCCCGCATGTACATCTCAGTGAAGCCGAGTGGCAAAGTATGCACGCCCACTAGCGGAACGTCGGTGACCTGGGTCAACTCAGCAAGAACAGGCTGGAAGGGCACTGCATCGCGCTGGTAAACAAAATTTCTGTAACCACTCGTGAATCAATAGCGCGGGTCACATCATGTACCTTCCTATTGGATCAATGAACCGCAAATCCATGGCTTGTCCCTCCCGAGAAGCTGGCATGAGAAACGATTCCGTGAAGCTGGCACGAGACGCAAGCTGTACTGACACAGCCAGACCCACAAGAGGGGGCCAACATATACTCCGCGGGCCGCTCCGGCAGGGCGGGCAAGGCGGGCGAAAACCGAGGCTCGCCACGGTCACACTCCTCAGCCACATCTCACCTATCGCGAATCAAATGCTGGACTCCTGTCAGCACACATCCCTCAGACTGCTGATCTATCGCTCATCTTCGTCCCTCCGCTGCTTCTTTGAAAAACTGCCCTCAAGGACATCGCAGCTCATCACCGCACCTCAGTTTCCTGCTGGTCGCTAGCATACACGAGCCGCCATGCTGTGACACCTCTTTGCTGAAATAAGGTGTTCTGTCATTTTCTGAACTCCACCATCAACATGCATGATGTATCATACCCCACGGAGCTACGCACGTCCCATGGTGAGTACACAAACAAGGTCAAGACGGTTGGAACTCTCTGAGCAGACGACGTAATAGTAAATACGCCTGAAATACTTCTGGAAATCTTTGACCTCAGCGGGGATGCGGGGGGGGGGGTAGACGAGCACGCGGCGGCCCCAACGGCACCCACGAGAGAGGGAGCGGACCAAGAGGGGGGCGGACCATCCTTCCGCGGCGCCTCGGCGCAGGGGGGCGCCGAGGCGCCGCGGAAGGATGACAGGGTGAAACAAGGGATGGTGAAAAAAGGGATGGGGTAGAGTCAGGATTAGACAAAACGGACAAGAAAACGGCACAACTAGAGGTTGGAATCTGGGAATCCAGAAATGCCTGCTTTCAGCGACCGATGCGTATGCAGCCAGCGTGCTACCCTAGGGGACGCTGGACAAAAAAGCGAGGGGGGGAGCCCCTCACGACGCCCGAGAGCCAGAGCCGCTCCCAAGCCAGAGAATCCTGAGCAGTCATTGATGGGCCTGTTTTCCAGCACCACCACCACCATAAGTTGGAGGTGGAGGGGGTCCTCCTCCTCCTCCTTTTCCTCCTCCTCCTCTTCGTCCTCATCCTCCTCGTCCTCATCCTCCTCGTCCTTCTGCTCCTTCCCCCCTCCAACTTATGGTGGTGGTGGTGGTGGAAAACGCGCCCATCAGTCATCGTATCAGAAGGATGCACGGTGAGGATGCAAGGGCCTTGGGAGGCCGTTTCGAAGCTTTACGGGCGGGGCCGACAGTGGGGTCCCGACCACAAGAAACCTTCCACAAGAAACCCAATCCTGCGACCCCAGGACGTCCATGGAATTTTGGTTTGGGAGCGTCGCGCCTTCCATCACAAAACCATCGAGACCCAAGAAACCCAGGGCACCCTGGAGGCAAGCAGGGTGTTTCTTAGCATGGGTCTCCACTGTAGGGGACGCTACAATCGACCCGTATCACAAGGATGCACGACAAGGATGCAAGGGCCTTGGAAGGCAGTGTCGGAGCTATTCGGGCAGGGCGAGGCCAGCGAAAGTGGCCAAGGATGGACCGAGGAGGCAAGGGCGCATGGGAATCCTTAGGACAAATGCCCATCTTTCCTATGCGGGTTGACTGTAGATAAGGAGCGAAAGGGCTTTTCTGGCCAAGGCGAACCTCGGCTACGACCAAATTCCCCGACCTCGATCTAAGGAACGACCCGAGAACCAGCTCCTCCCGAGCCCCTTCCGAGTCCGAAAACCGGAGCCCCTGCCGAACGTCCTGATCGTAAGTCGTTCCCAAACATCCTGTGGTGCAGGGTCCTCGTTCTGAAGAGAACGCCCCGCGTTCCTCCATCTCACCCCTCCTCCGCCCCCTCCTCCGCCCCCTCCTCCTCCTCCTCCTCCTCCTCCTTCTCCTCGTCCTCCTCCTTCTCATCTCGTCGTCGTCATCGTCATCATCAAGATCACCATCACCATCACCATCACCATCACCATTAGCACCATCAGCACCATCATCACCATCAGCACCATCACCATCGCCATCACCACCACCATCGCCATCACCACCACCACCACCACCACCACCATCATCATCATCATCATCATCATCATCATCATCATCATCATCACCATCACCATCGTCATTGTCATCGTCATCAGCATCATCATTACCATCATGTTCATCATAATCATCATCACCATCCTCCTCTTCATCATCATCAGCGTCACAATCATTATCGTCATCATCATCAGCATCATCATCATGACCATGATCATGATCATCATCAGTATCATCAGCATCATCATCATCATCGTCATCTGAATCGCCATAGTCATAGTCATCGCCATGGTCATCATCGTCATTATCGTCATCGTCATCATCATCATCATCAGCATCATCATCATCATACCATCATCCTCATCATTACCATCATAATCAACAACATCATCATCATCATCATCGTCATCAGCATGATCATCATCATCATCATCATCATCAACATCACCAATACCATCCTCATCCTCATTACCATCCTCATCCTCATCCTGATCCGCGTCCGCATCCACAATACCAGTATCATCCTAATCCAACCCCTCATTCTCGTCGTCCTCCTCCTCCTCATCCTCCCTGGTGTGCGTTTGCATGGCACAGCCGCGCTCATTTCGGCACACCACTCATACGCTTCGCGGCCCCGTAAGCAACTACACCGAAAACCCAACAACTGCTTTCGCATGGCACTGCAGCGACCGTGTCGGAACAACACGCGTAAGTTTCGTGTCCCCATAGGGAGCCCCACCGAAATCTCTAGTGGCAGCATTCGCATGACACCGCCGCGCCCATTTTGGCACAGCCCTCACACGCTTGGTAGCCCCATAGGGAGCTCCTCCGAAGGCCCCAGTGGTTGCATTCGCATGGCACCACCGCGCCCATTTCGGCACACCCCTCGCACCTTTCGCGGCCGCATAGGGAGCTCCACCGATGGCCCTCCAGCTGCGTTCGCATGGCACCGCCGTACCCGTTTCGGCAGACCCCTCACAAGTTTCGGGCCCCCCCATAGGGAGCCCAACCGAAGGCTCCAGTGACAGCGGTCGCATGGCACCGCCGCGCCCATTTTGGCACACCCCTCGCACGTTTCGCGGCCCCATAGGGGGCCCCAACGCGGATCCAAAAAACCTGCGCGGAGCGCCAACAGCTTATGTTTATGGCGTTGTTTCTCTTCTTCGACGATTGTCATCGTCGTCCGCCTTGTCTTCCCGTCCTCCCCTCCTCCGACGGGTGGTACGGTGAACCCGTACAAGAAGGGCGCGCGATGCGGATGCAAGGGCCTTGGAAAACCGTGCAGACACACTGAGCGGGGCGCGGCCAGCGGAAGCGGCCAAGGATGGGCCGAAGGGGAAGGATGCGAGGGCAACATTGGAAGTCCCTCATCCTTCTATGCGGGCTGACTGTCTGAGCAGGGACCGACCGTCCTGGCATTCGTGTAGGCCTAATTACCACGACATGCTCTTAGAACCCAAACATGTCCGACAAACAAAAACAATGTTCTTAGAACATTCACCCCATGTATTAAAACAGACAGTCTCATCCAGAAAAGTTCTGAGAACACTGCGTGAAAACCACAAAAGGTCCTTAGAACATGTTCTGGTGGCCTATAGGCAGGCCAAGACGCTGCGCCACTGCCCGGACTGTATGGCGACACCGATCCCTCAGCATGGTGTGACCTCCGACTTGTCGGCGATCTTCTGGCCCGGGTCAATCCAGACCCGGGTCAGCCAGGCCTTGCAGGATCCTGCAAGGTCCTGCCAGATCCTGCACCCAGACCCGGGTCAACGCGAAGGATCCTGCAAAATCCTGAAGGATCCTGCACCCACACCCGGGTCAGTGCGACCCTGGCCTCTGCAGGATCCTGCAAGATCGGGCGCTCTGGCTGACCCCCGTTTGCATTGACCCCCGTCTCTTGAACCCCGAACTTGGCAAGGCATCTTGAGCCCGGCTCGCAGGTCATGCTGGGGGAGGGAGGGCGCCCGTCCTCGTCCGAGGTGCACCCAGGCGGCGGCCCCCCCTGGGAGGTGGCGTCCCCGAGAGCTTCGTCTGCTCTTGCGATCGGAAAGTTTTGAAGGGGCCCAAGGCCATACAAACAATCAGAGACACATCCAAATATTCCCAAGATTGTTCCATATGCTCTGGATATATATATATATATATGAAACGCCCAGCCCATTTTCCGCCAGGAGTGCGAAGCGATGCTATCTCTGGTGTCGACAAGTCTTCCGACTTTGCAATCACAGATCACACAGACTCGAGCTCGAGGAAACGCTTAACATCAAGCTAAGCGGGCACCTGATCCATGTTGTTCTGCAACTTTAAAAGGAGAGGGCGGCGGTGGGGCAGACGGTTGGCCAGGAAAAACTACAGATCGGTGTTGACGGCGTGTTTCGGTCTTTTGCAAATCATTAATCAGCAAGCTTATACAAATGAAACGCCCAGCCCATTTTCCGCCAGGAGTGCGAAGCGATGCTATCTCTGGTGTCGACAAGTCTTCCGACTTTGCAATCACAGATCACACAGACTCGAGCTCGAGGAAACGCTTAACATCAAGCTAAGCGGGCACCAACTCTTTTTTGCACAGAACAACTCTTCTTCCAAAAACGCTACTGGCTTCAGCCGCACCAAATTATCTGTATTCGCTGAACTTTCTTTTCGGCAAGCGCGAGCTGGAAGCATCGGACGATGTTAGTGCACAAATTAGCTGGATAAGCCTCGGCCAGGAGCGTGCGAAAAACGCCGTCAGCATTTTTTCCTTGCAACTGATCATGCGGACGGCCCGTGCGGGAACAGATCCCGCGGGGGCCTCGACAGAGGCAATGCAACGGCTGGAGGTCTACGTGATCGTATATAATGCGAGTGCGTTTTCGGCAAGACTGGCCGAACTGGCAGAAATCCAACACGACAGAGCGACATTTTCTTTGCAATCTTATGAATTGAGGCGTCAGCCAAATTCTAGACATGTGAGGGTTCTCGATTGCTACCGGCAAGCGCACGGCTTGGCACAGCATAAACAGCGAGGCTGAGAACTTCATCAGGGCGTTGCCGACTCTGACCTTTTCAGCGTCACGAGGCGCTAAGTCGGGCAACCCCATCACGTGCAGGTCACTCCGCAAGGGCGGAGGCCCTGGTCGGATGTCCCGTGCACGGCTCCAGCTGTGGCAAGGGGTGCCCAGCCAGATGGCAGCAATCAGCCCGTTGTTGACCCATCCTCGCACCAGGCGTTGCACCCGCTGGCGAGTGAGGTCATACTCATCTCCCCAGCGGATGTCCCACTCAAAAATGGCATAGCCCAAAACATGCTGGCGACGTCGCCAGGCTCGGCTGAGATTGCCGGAGCCGCTGAACACCTCGAGCGCTACGGCCCCGCCCGCACGGGCGGCAAAGGCCGGCAGCGCTCGCAGAGGACGTCGCCAATCTTCTTGGCGCAGGCGATGGCGTGGTCGAGGAACGGCTGCGGCAGCTTGGCCAGCTGGTCGGCGATGCGGCCTCCCTTGCCGTACCTCGTCACCGAGCTGTCGCTGGCCCAGCGGCCGCGGGCCTTCACCTCCGCGATGCCGCGACGGCCGCTGGCCAGGTCGGCGGACGCTCCGCCGTGTCGCAGCTGGTACAGGCCTGGTGGGCCCTCGAGGCCCAGCTGCTGGCCCGCCGTGCGGAACGCCTGTGCCAGCTGCACGTGCCGCACCTGGGCCACGAGACCCTTGTCGTCGACGCCGGCCTTGAGCAGCTTCAGCACGTCGCCGATGAAGCGGTAGAACGGCAGGTCGCCCAGCACGCTCTCGTTGAAGGCGCCGGTCTTGCTGGGCGTCTCCTCCTCCATGGGGAACAGCACGAGCGACCACGCATCGTGACCCGCCGCCCGCACCGGCGGCACCACTTGCCGCCCGGTCAGCGACATCAGCTCCACGGGACGCAGGTAGAACACGAACATCGCGATGATGAGGCGGGCAGCGTGCAGGTCCTGGTTCGCCACGAGCTTGTTTGCCACCGCGCAGGCGACCTCCCATGGCAGCGGCAGCCGGCTCCGAGGCGGCACCAGTCGCCTCCACCCCTTCAGCGCTCGGCTGAACCGGGGCAGTCCGGCGACGGACAGGAGACGCGGGTAGTAGTACAGCAGCACCGCCTTGAGCCTTGTCCCCTCCTGGGCGTCGCCGCCGTCGAAGAACGCGTGGTGGGCCCACTCCACGGCTGCCTCGTCGTAGTCCTGAGCGGCCTTGAGGCGCAGGCCCAGGGTCTTGGAGAACCCCCTGAACTCCACGAGCACCGACTGGTAGACCCGCTGATTGTGGTCGCCCACGCTCTCCCTCTCGAGCAGCGAGAGGCCCTCGCCGTCTGTCACGCGCTTGTCCTCGGGGAACTTCGCTTGCCGGACAGCGGCACGCCCCCCCCTCGTGGCCAGCACCTCGGGCCGAGGCTTGGCGGGTCTCGCCGATGCCTTCGCCCGGGCTTGCCTCTGGGTCGGCCGCGGCCGCGGACCAGCCTGGGACAGTGCCGCTGCTCGCGACAGGGTGAGCGGCTCGCCCTGCACAGGTCGCCGCTTCGCAGCCCCGCCTGGCCTCGCCAGGCTGCCGGTCGCCAGATCCACATCCCCCGAAGACGGCAGGGTCAAAGCACCTGCGAGTGGTCGCGGGAGGCCGGTCGTCATCCGGCTCGGACAAACCTGGTGGAGGCCGAAAGTGCCCAGGTTTGAGCCCAAATGGCTTCGGCTGATAGCGACGCGAAGGCTCGTCGGCCACATTCAACTCAGACCGAATCCACCGAACTCGAGGATACAAATCGGCCGCAAACACCGTCGCCGCCCACTGCCTGCACACTCTCATTAAGGCCACGCTCGACGATCGGCCCTTCTCAAGGGCCAGGACCTCGGACATCCCGTCGGTCAGAAACAAAATCCGCTTGCCAAACTCGCTTAAACCCCGGCTCGCATGTCGGACCCCCCAGACCAGAGCGCGCCCTTCCAAGATGGGCATCGCCTCCCGCCGCATCCAGCGGCCGGCCGAAACGGCGGTCCAGGATCCCTCAAGGATTTCGGGCCCGATCTCCGGGACAGCCCCACTCCGATCCGCCTCGCCGAGGGCTTCCAAGTGCCGAGCCGTCCCGACACGATCCAGGTCGTCCAGACCGGCCGCCGCGGCTAAGTTCAGCTCCTCCCGGAGCGAGGCGTCTCTCGGCCGAACGCGATCCTCGGCCCCCCGCGAGAAGCGCCACCGGTCCGACCACCGGCCAGCCTCCGCGATGGACTGAGTGTCACGCTCAGCCAAGCAAACCCCCCGACCCCAAGGGGAGGCGTCTGTACACCGCACCTTTGAGCTCCAATCGGCATCGAGGCGACGACGGAGGAGTGGGAGGAGACCTACTGCCCAACGAAGCTCCCTCCGCACGGCAGCCCACAACCTACGGCGAGTGTCGGCCCCCCGCTGACTGAAGGCATACGCGGCGGAGAACACGCACAGGGCCTCAGGCCGAATTCGAGCGGCAAACGTGAAATGTCCAATGATGGCCTCGAGGTCCCCACCAGTAGCGAAGCCCCTCTCTAGGAGCCCTTCTATGCCGAGACGGAGCCTCCACACTCGGCGAGGGCTCACACGAACCTGAGGGCACTCGTCACTAAACTCCCAACCCAAAACGGACCCGCCAACCGAGCTCTCACGAGGATGCATGCAGAGCCCCGCGGTGGTCAGGGCGTCTAGAACGGAATCGGCCACGGCATCGACCTCACTGGCCTGACGCCCGATGGCCGCGAAGTTGTCCACGTATTCCGCGTGAGCAAACCCCGAGCGGCCCAGACGCACCCCGGGCTTCTTATCCGAGAGCTTGTTCGAAAGGGACACGCCGGGCTGCCGAAAGGCATGAAATTCGTGAATTCGCTGGCACCACCACAAAGCATGGTTCCAACCCATCGGCACAACACGCAGGTGTGGGTACACGAGCTGGGTCGGAGAGACAGCGGCGCCGTCGAGCTCAGAGATTCCAGCGAGTCCGGCCGTGACAGGGCGGAGACAGAATAAGGGGACGAGCTCAGGAGGGAGGAGGAGGTGGTAAAAGGCATCCTGGATGTCGACCTGGGCGAGGCACACTGGGGGCCCCGGGTCAACCTCGAGGGGCGCAAACGATCCGCCAGTGGCCAGGTCGACCGGATCAGGAGAGGCGAAACACAAGTTGGATAAACGCGCGTCGACAATCAATCTTTGCTTGCCGTTCTTTTTCCAAACAGTAAACAGGCCTACCCGGGGCGATCCACGCCGCCTCCACTCGAGCATGCCTGCGCCGTCGAGGGCCGCAAGGAGTCGCGCATACCGGCGCGGCCTCCCCTGCAGCGAAGGATCGTAGTATGGGCGCTTCAAGGCCGACTCGGCCACCCGCGCCGCCGCCTCCGATGGAGGCAAAACTTTGTCTTTTAAAAAGGCATCGACTACCATTGGACCCTCATCCCCGAGCAAAGTAGTCAGCGCTCGAGGACCGTCCCCACCAGCAGGCAGAGACAAAAGAGAAATGTCGAGCCGTGCGACAGACACCTTCTCGCCGGTGTAGCTGCGCTTGGCCAGGAGCTCCGCGAGGGCTCCCTGGCGAGTCAGGTCGGCGGGCGGCCGTCCGAGCTCAGCTACCGCAGCCTGGATCATCCCCAAGCTGCGCTCCTGCCCGGCACTGGCCCGCAATCCCTGAGGTTGCGGATCAGCAGACCCGCGGTCGAGCTCGTTCAGCGTGATCGCGCAGCAGCGAGCCCAGTCTTCGCAATGGGCTCGCTCCCCTCGGCGGCGTTGCCCCCGACGAGACTTTGGCTGGCCGCCATCGTCGCCGCCCGTGCTCGGCAGGCGGTAGTGAGGCAAAGGAAGCAGATCACGGTTGACAGCCCTGCCCTCATGTGAGCAACGTACATCGGCCGCGCTGGGGCTCATCTCCAGCGGCCCCCCTGCATACTCGCCGCGGGATCGGGGGCTCCCGCGGCGGCCCCCTTCACTGGTCATGCTTGCCCGCGAGTCGCCGTTCCTCGCGGGCTTTCCTCATTTGCTTCATGATGCCAGAGTCCCGCTCTAGCTCGGAGGCGACGTAGGTCAGCAGCTCGGGCGCCACCATCACCTCGCCGTACTCACGATGCTTCCCCGAGAAGACGGCCATCTCCTCAAGGCGCGCACCCTTGCCGCCCTTCTTGTCCTGCTGCTTGCTGGAGTCCGACTGCCGATGGACCTCGTAGTAAAAGTACTCGATGAGCTGCATCCGCCGAACGATGTCCTCCGCCGCCGCTAGGTTCACCACGTCGCACTGGTCGTGGGTCCCCAAGCGCTCGAGGATCTTCGCCAGCGTCTCGTGCTCGGACACCCCCCACTGGTCCATGGACAGCCTGTTGTCGGCCCGCCAGCGCCGATCCCAGCCCACGGGCCCCTCACTCCGTCGGTCGAGGAACTTAGCGCACCACTCTGCCGTCTGTGGGCCCGGCACGGGCCAGTCCGTCTGCTTCACTGCGCTCACATCACGGGCCACGTCGCGCCAGGGACGATGTCGGTCGCCTCGGGAGTCCCTTTGCAACTTCAGCAACCTCGCGTCGTGGTGGGCCTCCTTCGACCTGTAGGCCTCCACATCCGCGTCGCCGATGTCCTCCATCAGCACGGATACCCCCATCAGCACGATAACCCCCTTTCGGCCCGACACCATCTCCGAGCCGTTGAAAGCCACGTCATCTCCTCGGCCCACGCTGCCTCCAGGGAACTCAACGCTCTCAGCCGCCACCCAGCGCACAGTGTGGACCGTCACCGGCTGCACCGTCGGCCGCGCTGGCGGCCGGAAGTCGCGGCCGACCCCCATGAGGCCCTGGAGCGCCGCCGGGCCCGGCCCGTCGTCCTCGCCCTCGCCAGGCGCCCCCGGCGCGGGAGGCTGGGCCGGCACGTAGGCGGGCGCTCCTGCCGCCACGCGGCCAGCCCCACCCGCCTGGGCCACGGCCGGCCCGGCGACAGCGCCGCCCGCGGCGCCAGCGGCACCTCCAGCTCCCCACACGGCGATGCCGTACCCGCGGCGCTGATCCTCCAGCCCAGCGGTGTAGGCACCCTCCTGCATCAGTCTGCGCAGCGTCGACGCCGACGGGAACTGACCGAAGTGATAGATCAGGTTCCGCGGCACGCCCTCTGGCACCTCGTTGTTCGGGCCCAACCAACGCACGGCGACGGCGTCATTGAAGTCCTCAATGTACATGTCACCATCCGGCGTCAGGATGAGGGCCCGGGAGTCCGAGGACACCAGTCCGGCGAGCACTATTCTCCAGTGCCACTCCGCGGCCCCGTAGTTCACCAGACAGCTGCGACCGGCCAGATGCAGGGTGCCCTGCGGATGGCCCCGCGCCTGCATGGCGCCTCGCGCAGCACGTTCCCAGGACGAAGCCGACCAGCACCGCCACGCCGCCGAGCCCGCACGCGAAGCTCAGCGCCACTCGCGTCTCCGGCCAGCAGTCCTGCCGGCCCAGCGCCTCGGCGGCCTCCGCCGGGCACGTGCTCGGCGGGCACGCGGGCGGAGGCGGGCACGCTGGTGCCGCGGGCGCCTCGGGGCAGGCGCGGGCCTCAACGGCCGGCACCGCCGGGCAGGTGACGCTCACCTGCGGGCACGAGACCGCCGGCGCTGGCGGGCACGTGCAAGCGCCCGCCGGCGGGCAGGCCGGCGAGGCTGGGCACGGTGGCGGCTGGCACTTCCCCAGCCACGCGCCGCCCAGGTTGGCCACCCCCAGCACGGCGGCCTGGGCAAGCTGGCCCAGCATCAAGGGCCCCTGGTCCGTTTCCCCCCTGCCCCCCGGGGAGGGGGGGGCTCGAGCCAGGAAAAACTACAAATCGGTGTTGACGGCGTGTTTCGGTCTTTTGCATATCATTAATCAGCAAGCTTATACAAATATACTAGAACCACGCGCGCGCTTCGCGCGCGCTTAGGTTCTAGCTAGGAGGCGAGCTTGAGTCAACGAAAGTCGCAGGGAAAGGGGCAGGGGGAAGAAGGCCAGAGAGCGCTGAAGGATACAAATACTGGAACCCTCTTGTGATTTTGTGGGGGGCCTCGTCCGGCCGCTCGCTGGGAGTTTGACGTAGCTTCTCGGGAGCCTCTGAACCTGTCGGGGGCCTCCTGGAAGCAGGTTCGAAGCATTTTGGGGGCCGATTTGGGGCTTCTCGGGGCCTCCTTTGGGCCTCTTGGGGGTCTCCTGGGGCCTCTTGAGGGGCCTCCTTGGGGCCTCCTGGCGGCCTCTTGGGGCGGAAGGCTCGAGCTTGCGGTTCGTGGTCCCCCTCTGGGCCCCCTCTTGGGCCCGTCTTGGGGCCCTCTTGGGCCATCTTAGGCGCCTCTTGGGCCGTCTTGGGGCCCTCTTGGGCTGTCCTGGGGCCCTCTTGGAAGCTTCTTGGGCCGTCTTGGGGCGGTCTTGGAGGCCTCTTGGGCCGTCTTGGACGCGGTGAAAGCCCAAGATGCGAACATGCGAAAAATATACGTTTTCCCATAGGAATGGCACGATTTTTGTTTCTTGGACCTCTTGGGGTGCCTCTCGGAACGTCTTGGGCTGATTTTGGAAGCCTTTTGGCGCCTCTGGGTGGCGTTTTGGCGCCTCCTGGGATATGTTGGGCCGGAAGCTCGGAATTCGAGAGTGGCTTTCTCCTTCTGGGACCCCTCTCGAAGTCGTCTTGGGGTTCTCTTGGGCCGTCTTGGGGCCGTCCTGAGCCACTCGTGCGCAGCCTTGGAGCGCTCCCGGAGGCCTCCTAGGCCGTCTTGGAGGCCTCTTGGGCCGTCTTGGACGCGGTGAAAGCCCAAGATGCGAACATGCGAAAAATATACGTTTTCCCATAGGAATGGCACGATTTTGTTTCTTGGACCTCTCTTGGGGTGCCTCTCGGAACGTCTTGGGGTGCTTTTGGGAGCCTTTTGGCGCCTCTTGGCGGCATTTTGGCGCCTCCTGGAGCCTCTTGGGCCGGAAGCTCGGAATTCGAGGTTGGCTTTCTCCGTCTGGGACCCCTCTCGAACTCGTCTTGGGGCTCTCTTCGGCCGTCTTGGGGCCGTCCTGGGACACTCGTGCGCAGCCTTGGAGCGCTCCCGGAGGCCTCGTAGACCGTCTTGGGCGCCTCTTGGGCCGTCTTGGACGCGGTGAAAACCCAAGAGGCGAACATGCGAAAAATATACGTTTTCCCATAGGAATGGCACGATTTTTGCTTCTTGGGCCTCTCTTGGGCTGCCTCTCGGAGCGTCTTGGAGGCTTCTGGGACCTTCTTGGTGTCATGACAGGCGTCTTGGAAGGCATCTGGAGCCATCGGAGCGCGTTTCGAAGCCGCCTGCGAACGATCTTGGACGGCGTCCGGCGGTCCGACGAGCCTCCGGGCCCCCCGGAGCCCACATTTGTGGTCGGGGTCCCGGCCCCGGGCCCCCGGACCTGGTGCGCCGTTATATGTATATAGTATGTTCCTGGGCATCGACGACTCTCAGTGTCTTTATTTATCCTTCCTGTAGTTTTTCTTCGCTAGGGGGGGGCTAAAGCATCGTTGGACCCACCCCATCTCCACTGACGTGACGTGGCCCTGGCCCCCCTCCTGGCCGACTTACCCCTCCCCCCCCGGGTCGGGATGTACGATGCTCCCTTCCCAAGCGGGGCCTATATTTCCGCCTCCTACGATCGAGGGAACGCAGACATGGATGAAGGCAACGCGGATTAGTGACGGGTCCCTTGCCCGTGCGGGACCGACGCGCTCCGTCGCCAGATGAGGCGGCACTGGCCTCACTTTTCTGGGGGCACCTCCCCTGATCCGTGGATCTGGCGCCCGCGCGCCCGATCCACGGATCCCCGATCCATGTTGGCGTGCGCCCGATGCGATCCTCGTCGTCGGCACTCCTCGGGCGCGGCAGCACCCTCGGCGCCCTCGGCGCGGGGCGCCCACGTGGCGAGGCGGATCCTTGTCGGGGAACCTCTTCCTCCTCCTCCTCCTCCTCCTCCTCCTCCTCCTCCTCCTCCTCCTCCTCCTCCTCCTCCTCCTCCTCCCCTTCTGTGGCGATCGCGGCGCCGATACCAGGGGGCTGCTCTAGCGTGCCCGGCCAGCGCTTGCCGGTGCTCCTCGTCCCCCCAAGTCTCGGACAGCGGGGACTCGGTGCCGGAGAAGACCAGGGTCCTCCGCGGCGGCCGGAGGCATCAGAGAAGTCCCGTCGGGCGACGAGGTCCGTGCATATCTCTATATATATATATGTGTGTTTATATAAACGTATACATAAATATACGTGTATATATATAGAGAGAGAGAGAGAGAGAAAGAAAGAAAGAGAGAGAGAGAGAAAGAGGGCAGAAAATCCCCCCCATCATCATCACCCGACAAGCGGGGGTGGTCCCGGGTCAGAATACCACTCCCGGGGCACGCCGGGAGCGCGTCGAGGGCCGAGGCCTCCAGGGTCAGCGGCATCAGCCGTAAGGCCTTCACGACGAGCGAAACACTTTCGTAAACGCACTCACGGAAAGAATCGAAGAGAGCGGGGCTGCTTCGTAAACGCCCAGGGCCGTGTAGTAAACGTCAACCTGCAGCAAGCCGCAAACGACTGGCGCGTGCGGAGATCACGCAAGTCGAAAGGCACTTGCACGCTGGCATTCGTTTGATGAGGGGCGAGGGCGGGGAATGCCATGCAAATAGATTTGCCTGAACCTTATACAAAAACCAGGCTCTCAGGCGACGAGGTCCGTGCATATAGACCAGCCACGGGCAGGCCCATCCTGGGCCCAGGGTCGGTGCCTCTGTGTGTGCCTCTCCGCGAGCAATCTAATAATTACTTTGCTGCGCCGTCTCCTCCGACTGGCGGCTTCTGCAGGTCGGAGGGACGACTGGCGGCCGGCACGGCGCCGCTCGACAGCAGGCAGTGCTGCAGCGGAGGACAGGGAGATGGGATGGGCCCAGGATCGGTGTATACGCCTTTATCATCGGAAACTGGAACGTATACATTACCAGTGGCGGGCTGTTTCTTGAATCCCAAGACTTTTTGGGGGTCGGGGACGACGCTGGGGTGGTGTGATGTATACTTTTTTCCCCGATGTCCCGGGAAAACAACGAAAAATGTATACACCAGGATCCTGTATACACCAGAGTCCGCGTTTCTGTGCGAATTTCAGCGCAGGGTCGGGAAAAGCGTCGGTGTATAGAGTTCGTTTCCCTATCTCTTAGAAGAAGAACAACAAACAAAAAACGCCACAAACTTTTTGCGTCGGCGGCTAGGCAGAGTAACTGCGCTGGCAGAGGGCTACCCAAACGAGGGTATCGCTGTCGCGAAGTGTGCCACCATGCAGGAGGGGGCAAAGCAGAGGGAGCGGCCGAACGAGGGAGCGGGAGGGGAGCGAGGCCAATCAGGCGAACGGGTCACGCCCAAAAGCGCCACACGCCTAAACATGTGGCGCTCCGCGCGGATTTCTTGGACCTGCGCTGAACCACCCTCCCTGGCGCGCGGAGCGCGCCAGGGGCAGCGCCGGAGGCGCCGCCGGGGGTCCCAGCGCAGATCCGACAAATCCGCGCGGAGCGCTAACAATTTATGTTTATGGCATTTGTTCTTCGTCTGTGAGCGTTTTCTTTCGGCATTTCGACACTGAGCGGAAAGGGGGGGAGGGGGGGGGGTCTGGCTCTGCGACTGTTTGGAGCAGTGCTCCCATGGGCAATCCTATGGGGAGCCGTCCACCTGCTTGAAACAGGTGCCCAAAACAGCGAAGGTCTACTCCATCGAGGGGGAGGGAGGGGGTGCGAGGGCCCGCGCCGATCGGCACAATGATGAATAAGAAAACGATCACGTTACTGGCTTGGACAAGTCCCTGCCTCAGAGCATGCACCGCTCCTGAGCCCCTCAGAATGGACCTGGCCAAGGTCAGCGTACATGTGTACGACTATCTACCAGACCAGCCCAACCCAACCCGAAGAACCGAATATATCGGGATGGGGGGAAGGTACGGGCTTCATATCTGTATTTGTTCAATGTTCCCCGACCCCCCCACCTGGAAATGGAGGGCAGATCTGGGGGCTTCGGGCTGGGTTGGGGTGGTCTGGTGGGCGGTGAGTATACAGATCTCGTCGCCCTGAATGCGTGGTCCCAGAGAAGATGGGCCGAAAAATCACGCCGCATCGCCGATGCATCGGCGACGGCGGGATGGAGAAAACCGGGCTCCAGGTCACGACGAATCACCGAATCCCTACCGACGGTGGAGCATCAGCAGGAAGAAAGCGGGTCCTGGGGAAAAGGGTACTGGAATTTTCCACCGTTGTCGGGCTCGCCGTCTAGGACAGTGGAGGCCAGTCCACAAGAAACCTTCCACAAGAAACCCAACCCTGACATCCCAGGACTTCCATTGATTTTTGGTGTGGGAACGTCACGCTTTCCATAGCACAACCATCGAACCCCCAAAAAACAAAGGCACCCTGGAGGCAAGCAGGGTGTTTCTAGGCATGGGTTTCCCGCCATACCGTTAGGTCGGGCATGTCCCCCTACAGGCGGATGTTGGACGAACACTAAAACATAGTCGAACAATGCTCAAACAAACATCGAAACACAATAGAAACATCGTCCCCACACTATTTTTTGACTAGCTTCGAATCCTCCTCCTGTAAAGGGACATGCCCGACTTAACCATACCCTTCTCCTTCAACGCGAACGGGTGCGGAGGAGAGACCTTCGGAGATCTCTAAGCTCGCGGAGCGCCAGCGGCCGCCAGCGAGGGTGGGGCGACGGGCGGCCGTCCAAGACGGCGGGGAGAAAACTTCTGAGAGGGCGGGAGGGCTTCGGAGAAGCCCACTGCCGTCTTGGAAGACCCCCCCCCCTGCGCCATCCCTTCCTGCGCGCCGCCGAGCGAAGGACCCAAACCTCCGTCACCAGGAGCAGTTCGCGACGGCCGCTTTTCCTTCTTTGCGGGCCCCTGGGAGGCCGTTCCGGGCCGCCCCGAGCTAATCAGAAACCCAACGAGGCTGAAACACTTGTCCTTGGAGAGGGGGTGCAGAACTCGGAGAGACCATGCTACGATAGAACTGGTGGCTTCGTGGAACTATTGGGAAGAGCGGGGACGAGGGACGCGGGAGGGAAGGAGGCAGGGCGGGAAAAGGATGCGGGGGAAAGACGCGAGAGAGAAAGGAGGAATGACAAGGGAGGACGTGGCGGGGAGAGAAGTCCGCAACGACGATGTCGAGTTCCGCCTCCTGGGCCGAGTGTCATGCCGGGGCCTTTTGGGTTTTTGTTAAAGGGTGGGGGAGAAAACGAAAGACGCCTATGGGCCCTGTGGATCTGTTCGCGCTGCCAAGTCGCAGGGGGCAATATCCCAGCGGCGCGCGCGAAATCGCCAACGAACCTGCAACAAGCCAAACAAACAAATTTTCTCGCCGGTATTGCGGAACTCGACGGGGCGCTGGTTTCGGAGACCGCAGTCGCGTTGGGCAATTGCCCTGCATCTGGGACCGGCGCGGGCAAAAGGATCGATCCCGCGTCGAGAATGAGCGTTGGACGTATCGCGGAAGCCATGCGCGTGCCCCGGTGTGAAGCCGTACCCCTTGTTTTTGTGAGCAGACGACTCACTGTTTGAATCGCACTCTGCCCTATCCACCACCACGCCTGGGCTCTAGGTAGGAAGCTTGTTGGATAGCTGTTGGAATATCTTCGGGGCCCTTCGGGAACCTCTTGGAAACAGTTCTGGGGTGTATGAAGGCTTTCGGGGGCCTTTGGGGGTCCTTCGCAGCCTCGTTTGAATATCTTCGGTCCTGCTGGCGATTTCGGGGCCATCTTGGGGCTGAGGGTTCGACATGCTAATTCGCGCTCCTCGGCTTGAGCCCTCTTGCGGGCCTTTTTGGGGCGTTGGGGCCGTCTTGGGCGCTATTGTGTTAGTGGTGTAAGCGCAGCGGTCTTCCTCTTAATGCTGATGCCAGCCATATCTCCTGCCCGCGCTACAAAAGATAGCTGCTATCCGACGCCGCAGCACGCGTCGGCTCCATTTGCCGAGATACGGTAACACAAACATAAACGACTGTGTGAAGCGCGCCCTCCCTGGAGGAGTGAACCGCAGTGGCCACATACGGCGAAGAAGATGATGGGGGCCCAAGGACACAAATAAATAGACATAAACCCCAGGACTCCCAATAACTGCTAAACAATACTTCTAGTTCGCGCGCGCGGGGCGGCCCCTGGGGGTCCCCCGGCGAAAAGTACCCCGACTGCCGCCCGACCACTGCTACTCAGAGATGGTTTTCCTCCTGGGTGTGGCTTCTCAGGCCCCCCAGAGCGCGCCAAGAGTGCCCCAAGAGGCCCCCAAGACTGCCCAAAGGGCCCCCGAGACGCCTAAAGAGCGCTCCAAGACGCCGATGATGACCTCAAGACGGCCCAAGAGGCCTCCAAGTGGCCTCCAAGAGGCCTCACAAGAGGGCCCTGAGAGGCCCAAATCAGACATTTTACGATGGTTTTGAAAGAATTTGGGCCTTGTCCCCTTTTCGGCCATCCGATGCTCCAAGACGGCCCAGGAGGCCCCCAAGAGCACCCCAAGACGGGCCAAGAGGCTTCCACGAGGGCCCCAAGAGGGCCCAAGAGGGCCCCGAGACGACCCAAGAGGCGCCCAAGACGGCCCAAGACGGCCCCAAGACGGCCCCAAGAGGGGCCCAAGAGGGGGACCACGAACCAAAACCTCGAGCCTTCCGCCCCAAGAGGGCCCCAGGAGGCCCCGAGAGGCCCCAAAGAGGCCCCAAGATGCCGCCAAGAGGCCCCCAAGAGGTCCCAGGAGGCCCCCAGGAGGCCCCCCAGAAGACTTCAAAAATGCCTCCCAGGCGCCCTCGAACGGCTTCTGAAAAGACCCCAAGAGGCCTCCCAGAGAAGCATCTTGACGACGACCCTGTTTGGCCCCAAGAGCAACACAAGATGCCAACGAGAGGCTTCCTCCTCCGCCCCTTCCTCTTCCTCCTCCTCCTCCTACTTATCTTCATCCTCCTCATCTCCTTCTCATCCTCTCCTCCTCCCCTCCCCTTCCCCATCCTCATCTTCTTCCTCCTCGGCGGCGCCACAATGGCCCCGGGCCCACGGCGAAACAGTAGCGATCATGCAACATGGGCCGGCGGAGTGAGCGAAGCGATTGAATAAATAGACATAAACCCCAGGACTCCCAATATTGTCCGATGTT